CAAGCAACTGGGACGTCAAGGAAGAATAGACATATCAGAGATGACAATGAGGATGATCAGCTGTATGATCCTGGGCAAGTCATTTGAACTCTGTTTGCCTCACTTTTCTTATGCGTAAAATGGGGATAATAATAGCACCTACCTCCCAAGGCTGTTGTGAGGATGGAGGACAACATTTGTAAAGTGTTTAACATGGTGCCTGGCATATAGTAGGCACTATATAAAGTTAGTTATCATCATTACCATTATTATAATTAAGAGCTCCATCTATCACAGGTAGAACCTTCATGCCAAAAATGAGGCATGAGGAGGCTTTCAGTGGAGGTTTATCTTACTTATTATGAAGAGATGATTAATATCTATAATGGACAAGTGATTGTCAGACAACTACGTGGCCTCTAAGGTCTGACCTTCCTAATTGAAATTAAAGATTTCACCCATGAATTCCAAGGAGTAATAGATTTACTAACTGTTCTTCCTAATGGTGGACATTAACCCCCTTTTCAGACTTTGGCCATGATGCACTTTAAAAAGAATGCTACGTTACAAAGGTTTTGTTTTTCTTTTTCCTAATGGTGGGGGAGGGGGGGAAGAAAAAATAATTTTTGTTAATTAAAAAAAACATAAATTTAAAAAATAGAATGCTACAGTATGGAAGTACCCCAATTGACTTCACCACCAATACAACTGGGTGTTGTTCTATGTGTATAATGATTGCTATTTTTCAAATTTATTGTTCTTTCAGAAAGTCAGACTCATTTTATGATAGTTTCTTCTAAGTATCTACATTATACAAGGTTCTATGTTTCCCACATGCTACACTCAGAAGTATCTACACACCAGTGATTAAACGTAGTGGAAAGAACACTGGATTTAGAGCCCAATGAACTGGATTTGATTCTTGAATTTCCTATTTATTATCCATGTCACTTAGTACAAGTCACTAAACATTTCTGGGCCTCGAATTTTTCATCTGTAAAATGAAAAGGTTGGATGTGAGGACGTGATTTTTAATTACAAGTTCTATAACCCTCAGCCCTTTCCTTTAGGGTGGTGACTATTACAAGTAATGACAGAAATCATGAGAGGGGAAGAAAACAAGCATTTATTAAGTGCCAGGCACTAAGCCAAGCACTTTACAATTATCTCATTTGATCCTCACAACAACCCTGGGAGGGTACTATTACTATCCCTATCTTATAGTTGAGGGAACCAAGGCAAACAGAGGTTAAGTGACTTGCCCAAGGTCACACAACTGGGAGGCATCTTTGGCTGGATTTAAACTAAGGTTTTCTTGATTTCAGGCCCAGAGCTCTAGCTACCTCACCACCTAACTGCCATAGACATCATAGGATCATAGATTCATAACTAGAATGGACTGAAATATGATTGACTCTAACTCATTTTACAGATGAGGAAAGAATTTCAGAAAAGTTAAATGATTTCTCTAAATCAATAGAATTGGGTGTTCTTTAAAAAGGCCTGGCAAACTCCCATGATTTTTTACTTTAGGAATGGTTTCATATTTATTCCCCATTTCTCCTTCCCTAAAAAGCTCCCAAATAGATTGTTTAATTAAGTAGCCATCAGTAAAATACATAATTGCTCTCTGGAATCATAGGACTACTGAACTGAGATTTCCTATAGCATTGACAATCATAGCATAGATTTAGGATCATAGTAGCAGACTTAAGGCAGCTAGCTAGGTGGTGCAATGGATAGAGTACTGGGCCTGAAATCAGGAAGACCTGAATTCAAATTCTGCCCCAGACACTTGCTAGTTGTGTGACCCTGGGCAAATTACTTAACTCTGTTTACCTCAGTTTTTCCATCTGTAAAATGAGCTGGAGAAGGAAATAGCAAATTAAACCCCAAATGGGGTTATGAAGAGTTGGACATGATTCAGCAACAATAAAACATAGAGGACCTTGGTATCTAATATATTTTATAGAGGAGGAAATCGGGACACAGAGAGATAAAGCAATTTGCAGAAGGTTGTACAGTTAGTAGGTAAGACTGGAAGGGACTCCAGAGGTCCCCTATTCCACCTCCACCCCCATTTTACTGATGAGAAAACCCAGTCCTATGGAGTTTAAATAATTTACCCAAGGTCACACAAGTAGTAAGACTAGAGCTAGGATTTGGATCCTAGTATTCTTTTTGCATATGGAAATTATTTAGTGGAAAAAGTACTGGCTGTAGCAGAAGAAGATGTGGGTTTGAATCCTTTTCTGACACATGTGGATGCGAACAAACCATCTAACCTCTGAGACTTAGTTTCCTCTTCTGTGAAATGAAGATAATTGTGTTACCTGTCTCATAGGGTTGTTGTAAGGAAACTTGTAAGCATTAAAGTACTTCATAAATCAGTTTTTTAATGTGTTTATGTTCTATTTTGTATTATAATGATCTGTGTATATATAGCATATGTTCTCTAACATACTGTAAACCCCCTGAGGGCAGGAACCATGTCTTGCTTAAACTTTGTGCTGTCCAACATCTAGCACAGAACTCAACACACAATATGGTATTTAAGAAATGTTGAATGAATGACTCAACCTATCAGTCTAAGAAGATTAATATCTCCTTTCTGCCCCCATCAGTTCAAAGACATGAGGTTGGATGAGTGAATATGTAATATTATGCTCAATAAAAGTTAAACCAGAATAATGTGTTGGTTCCTGTGTCTGCTGAACTCATTTCATTCACTGGATTCATCATTCCTATCATGAAAAATGATCTATCCTTGAGTCAAATGATCATGTTTTATATTGACAAAGGGCTCCTTTCCCTTGTGACTACCTTATAATAGAAAGGAAGGCTGATTCTCTTTGATTTTCATTTTGGAAAGAAAATTACTTTCTGACTATTATAATTCCATGGCTATTAACTAAAATAAATTGAAGTGTGAAAACAGTTAAGATGGCTAGCAGAAGGAACTAAATAAGAAAGGCTTCTTCTACTCAGGCATTCACTGAGGATCAGAATTGGGGAACCCAGAAAAAAGAATCCATTTGTTTGGTGTGTATCATTATTTTGCTAATGGATGTTAAGTTATACCCAATAATTGTTTCTCAAGCACTTTAAGGCTTACAAAGCCCTGTCCTTACAACACACCACCTGCGAAATAGAGAGTTTAAGGATTTACATCCATATTTTACAGAAGAAGAAACTGAAGCTCTGAGACATTAAATGGCTTATCCTAGGTCACACAGCCTACTTAGTATCAGAGCCATGACTTAACCCATGTCTTTTGACTTGAAGTCTAGTGTTCTCTCCAATATGAATGTATGTCTTCCTTGATTAAATTCTTGATCTGTCACCCATACATCTTATCACTGGGTACTAGGCCAGGGTGTAGGAATTGTTGAAGTTTCAGCCCAACCCTTCTATTTACTCTCTGGCTTCAACCTGTATGGCATGCCCCAGTTCCCTTCTTTATAAAATGGAGATTGTGAAACATGAGGGTGTTACTGGCTAGATGGCTGGTTCCTGGAAATAATCAGTAATGACCTATAGATGCTATTGATTTTTCTTTTTTTCCCACATAAGACATTATATTATTTCAATACTTTATACGTATGGGGCAGAATTTGAACTACAGCATCTCATTCATGCCTAGGAGTTGCCCCAGTGCAATGACCCCTCCCCCAACGCATATAAACATTGGTTTGATCCAGTAGGAATAGAACCTACCTGGCTAGGAGTTAGAAGGAAGCCACTGGACACTAATTCACTTCAGAATCAAGGGCAAATCACTTAGTTTTTGTGCCTATTTCATTATCGACAAACCTGGAAAAATAGGTAAGGATTGTGAAGAGATAGAACATAGACTATGGGAACAAACTGAAGAGCCAGTAAGGACCTTCGAGCATTGACTTTCAGAGTGGAAGCATTCTTAGAATCCTAGAACATAGAATGTGCAAGCTAGAAAGGACTTTGCAGAGACTCTCATTTTATGGAGGGAAAAAGTGAGGTCCTAAGAGGGAAATGAGTTGCCCAAGTTAATATAAGAGATGAGGCTATAAAGCTGTTCTGATTCTTCTCTCCACCAAACCAAGCATCCTCTCCTATGAAAGCTCTTTACCAAAAAACAAACAAACAAGCTATACCAATGGTAGGCATCATCAACATTATACAGGAACTCCAGTTTGGGAGTCACATCTGCCTTGGTAGGGAAAAGAATAATTTTTCATCCCTTCTAGTGACATTCTCCCAAATCACATTTCTGGAAAAAATCAAAGAGGACAGAGCTGCCAACATAGAAATGGATTCAGATATTCTTAGATAAATAGTCTGGGACAGCTATTCCCACCCGTTCTCCCACTCCACAGTAATCATAAACCGGCCCTAGATTTCAGCTGGGGGGGGGGCCAAGGCTCTCCTAGAACTTCTCAGAACTGGACTCCGCCTCCACGCTAATTCTGCCTCTCCTACCCTGCTTCAGTTTCCTAAACCCCTTGGCTCCGCCCCGCTCTTTCTGTCTCAATTCCAGGCCAATTTCCCGGGGCGTGGGCGGCTCCTTTCGGGTGGGCTGCAGCCTATCTGGAATGCGGGGAGTGGAGTAACGGCATAGAATGTTTAAGAATGACCTCGGATCTGGGGGCAGGGTACCGCTCCCTGGACAAGGAGAGTCGCCAGGTCATCAGCAAATATTAACCAGGTGTGCCTGTCTCTCCCGATCGCCGCCGTCACTTGGTTTAAACCTGCTGTGCGTCACCCGAAGCAGAGCCTCAGCAACTCGAGACATCACAATATAGGCGGCAGGGACCTCAGACTTCATCATCACCAACCAGTAACGAAAGAAAGAAAGAAAATACAAACAAACAAAAAACACGGGAAAAAAAAAAAGAAACAGGGGAAGGAAAACACACACACAAACAACTGCTCCATTCCAGGCTCGGACTGAGTTTTGCCTTCCTTCCTCCTCTCTCTTCCCTCCTCCCTTCCCCTTCCCCATTCCCTATTCCCTCTTCCCCTTTCCTTACCTTCCCTCACCCCTCCCCCCTCCCCCAGCGCTGGCCTACAGCCTCCACGGGAATGAATGTGTGTGTATGAATGAAGACTTGCGAGCGTGAGCGTGGGCGAGAGAGACGCTGGGGTAGCTGACTGCCCTCCTCCTGGACTCCAGGCGGTAGACCTGGTAGCCAGGCGAGGCCGCTTCTCTTAACAGGCCTCCTTCCAGCTCCCAGTATCCCACTTCTCCAGCTGTAGTGGAAGACCTGTCTGTGGTGCTCTCCAGCTGTGGTGCTCTCCAGCTGTGCTCCAGCGGGGGCTGCTGCAGAGCTCCTTTTTGGCCCCTCCTCCTAATCCTCCTCCCCTTAGTCTCTCTCTCCCCCCCAGCTGTTCTCTGCCACTACTGCTGTTGCTACAGCTGATTTGCTCCTCCGCTCCTGGCTTCGGCTTTCCTCTCCCCCCTCATTCCCCCACCCCACCCCCCTTCATGGCCGGGCACGAGTGGGACTGGTTTCAACGGGAAGAGCTCATCGGGCAGATTAGCGACATCCGAGTTCAAAACCTTCAAGGTAAAATAAATAAATAAATCATTCTTTCGTTAAGAATGGGTTAGATTGATGGCTCTTTAAAGGGTTCGAGAACTCTGATTCAACTCTACCCATTTCCTGTTCCCTTTGCTGTTTGGGTCAGGGATTTGGAGACCATTCATCCCCATCTCTCAGCCCCATAATTATACCCTTGCCTGATTTGGGCAAGGAAGCCTATGAGGGTTTGGACATAGCTGAGGGATCTCCAGGAACTTGGGATCAGTGCAGGTGTGAGAAGAGAGGGCAGAGGTGTGCACTGAATTCACTCTTTGGGAACTTTAGGTGTAAAGCTTTGCACGCAAACAGCAAAAGGCAGGTGGCTTCCTATTTGTCACAAAGTTTGGAGAAGTTGGATTTATTTGGTCTGGAAGGTCGTAGGTAGAATGGAGACATAGATTCAATAAACCAACCATTGCCTGAGATTCTACCCCTGGTTTCAGGTACTTCACAAGATGCTCGAATCCACCAGGAATTGTTTTGAAGGGTGTGAAACATAAATATATAGCTATATTAGAAACTTTTTTTAAAACTATGGGTAATGGGAATGAGTGAAAAACCACACAGATGTGTGAGAGAGCAGGCAAAGTTACTGAAGTCGTTACTGTGGTGTCAGGCAGAGGCACTTCCGCTTCCCCCCAAGACCACATTCCTGAAGGAATAATACCATATGGGCTTCTTTATTGGCTGTCCTGCTGCGAGGGAGTAGCCAGAGCTCTCCTTACATCAGGGTTCTGGATTTAGGGAGAGAGACCCTCCCAGCTCTTGATCCTAGCATAATAGCAGGTTGTAAAGAATTAAAAAAAAAAAAAGTCGAGACAATTCCGAACCAGTCCGATTTAATTTTTGCGCTTCAGTTTCACCACTGGTAAACTGGAAAAAAATACTAATCCCATTTAACCCAACAGGTAAATGTGAGGATAAAATGAGCTAGATAGAGACTCGGAATATGAGAGCTTGGAAGGCCTTTTAGAAGCATAGAATTATCAGAGGGAGAAGGACCATTAGAATCACAAACTATACACTATTAAGGCTGGAAGGGACCCCAGGATGTATAATACTGGAATGTGGAACATAAAATGTTGGAGCTGAAAGAGCTTTTAGAGTGCAACCCCCTCATTTTAAGGGGTGGAAAAAAAGAACCAAAAAGAGGAAGTGACTTTCACAAGGTTATATAGCAGGATAAAATGTGAAGGGACTGGTGAGAAGGGGGAAGTTTTAGTCACAGGTGAAATTTTCCAAAACCATCTTTTCTTTAAGACTCTGTGTGGAAATGAGTAGTTGAAAGAGAAACCTCAGTTTCTAAATGGAATGGGGGGAGGTGCACCCACGTACCCTCTAATAAAGCTGGATAGGAGACTGGGACGGAGAAATGCAGCTCTCCCAAGCAGGTGATTTGACTTTATTGCCAGAGGGTAGGCTTGTTTGTTTGCTGGGGAGGACCGGTGCAGTAAAGTTTAAACATTACACAGTGTTAGAATGTTTCCTCAGAAGTTTTGTTTATTCATTCCCCAGGTAGATTGAGCAAGGACTGTGTTCTCTTAGGTAACTTGGACGGGGAGGGGGTGCTGCTGTGTAGCTTTCCTCTTGGAAGGAAGGATGGGAACTGTGTTTGCTCTCCTAGCCTAATCTTCTCCAACGTGGTATACATAAAAAGGAAGATAGTTCATAGAAACTGGAGCTGGAAGGGACCGTAGAGATAATATAGGCCAACCCACTCTTTTTATAGATGAGGAAGAATTAGCCTAGGGTGGTTAAATTATTTGCCCTTACACAGGTACCAGAGCAAGCATTGAAACTCAGGTCATATGACTCCAATAGGATTTTTCTTACTGTACTATTAGGCCGCAGATACTAAAAGAATATTAAGACCCACATTTCCTTCAACCTGTAAAGGCATTGTCCCCCTGGGAAGAGCACTGGATTTGGAATCTCAAGAAAGAACTGGGTTTGAATCCAGTTTACTACTTGTGTAACTTTGGGCAATTCAGGCAAATAAGACACATAAAGCACTTTAAAGCATTATCTGAATGCTAGCTATTACTATGAATTAACTTAATCTCCCTGGGTTGCAGTTTCCTCATCTGTAAAAATAAGGTAATTGAACTAGGTGATACTGGGGTCTCTTCTAGTTCTAAATCTATGATCTTTATGCCTGAGGCAGTATTAGCATTGCTCTGATGTTATTATAAGACATTAGTTAGAACGGTGATGACCTTAAAATATCGAATGTGAAAACATAGACTGTTAGAACTGAAATAGGCATTAAAGAGCATCCAGGTCCGCCCCCCCCCCCCAAAGATGAGCTTTCTCTCAGTAGGTTAGATATTTCAAGTAGAAATAAAAGTATTCAGATTGTGTTGTCAATAGATGAATACCTGTTTGTGTTTCTTAATTACTCAGTGCTAGGCACTTAATGGTTGCTTAATAAATACTAATTGATTACTTGTATGCTTTGGTTGTAATGACTTAGGCATTTTATGAATGCATCCCTTCCATGTTCTCTTCTTTAACTGGCAAGGGAATACCTATGTCTTTTCTGCCCAGAATTATCTTGAAAGGCCTAGGTAACGAGGATTGACTTTGGGTAAGTGATTTCACCTGTCTGGATCCCAGTTTCTTCATCAGTAAAATGAATGTGCTGGACTGGGATGGTCCCTACCATCCCTTCCAATTTTCAGCCTTAGAAGTCTGAGAGCAAAAGAGCCTGTTCTGCTCCTGGCTCCCTGATTGGCCTCCCTCTCCTGCAATCATTTACTAAACATTAGCTTAATCCATATGTCTTGCCCCAGTGGAGGTACTATTTGCCAAGTCCAGTAGTTTCCTCGTGCTCTGCTGGTACTTAACAATCTATGACAAAACTGGTTAGTTTCCCAAACCATTGCAGGTTTGACAGGTCATCTGTCAAAGGCACCAGGTCTTGGAGTCGAGTTCCTAAGCAGTCAGTGTAGGTGGGAGTTAAGAAAGCAAGAATACCAATCCAAATAATTCTGGTCTGAAAGCCCACAGTTTACTTACTACATTGCCTGGGTAGTATCATTTACCTTGATGATTCAAAGCTCTCTTAACCCACTTAGGATTTTTTTTTTAACTTGTAATAATACAAGATGATGAGTATGTGCGCTCTGTGTGCTCTGAAACAGCTCGCTTTAATATGAAGAGGCCTGATTTTTGTTATAACCTGGGGTCTGCATCTGTCTCTTGGGGCTGGGATTTGTGTGGCCCACTTCAGAGTATGCTGCACGTACGTGAGGTCAGATGCTCCAGGGGAAGTCACAGTGTAATTTATGACCTTGATTGGAATTAACTTGATCCACTCTTTGCTTGTTATCCACAATACACACTAGTCAGGAACATTGGAAAGAGATTACAATGTGCAGATCGATTCTGGAGAAAGTTATGTGTATGTGTGTGTAGCAGGGGGTGGAATTGCGGATTGGTAGGGAATAGATGGGAGAGAGGGGTATAATCCAACTCTCATCATTTAATAAATGGAAGGATGATGATTGTCATTTGATATCGATGTTAGCAGCTTATATACATAGCTGATATTTAGTTGGCATTCTGAGGAACACACCCATCCCTTAGGCAGATAATGTCCCTGTTGGTTTTTTGGGTTTTGGGTTTTTTTTTTGACAATGCTGTTTAAGGAAGCTGAGGGGACCCAGTATTGCTGACCTTTTGATAAGATGACGATATAAACTCACAGAGATGTTGACAGGCCTTCTGACTTCTCAGAGCCATGAAGAGTTGAACAAAATTAACTGTCTGTTGGTTTAACTCTTGGCTGGGTTGCTTTAACTGTAAAAGAGCTTTGGGCCTTTGTAGTAGAAAGAGTGTGGCTATGCTACTTACTGCCTAAGTGACCTGGGTTGGATCCGTTAATCTCTCTTTGGTCCTCAGTTTCCTCATCTTAGAGGCATCTAGATGGTGTAGTGGATGGAGCACTAAGCCTAGAGTCAGAAAGACTTGAATTCTAATCCAGCTGAAAACACTTCCTAGTCATTTAACTTCAGTCTGCCTCACTTTCCTCAGTTGTAAAATGGGCATAATAATAGAACCTAACTCCCAAGGTTGTTGTGAGGATCAAAGGAGATATTTGTAAAGCACTTGCCCCAGTGCCTAGCATTTAGTAAATGCATAATAAATGTTCTCTCCCCCTCTTGCCTTACTTCTTCCTTCCCCTCCCCTTTCCCCTGCCCCTTCCTCTCTTTCTCTTCCCCTTCTGTTCCTTAATCCTTCCCTTTCCCTTTTCTCTCCCTCCCTTCCCCTCACCTCTATTGATGCCACTATTAATATTTTTTCCTGCCTTATTACCATTTCTTCAATTTCCCCCCTCCCCTGAAAAAAATCCCACCTTTCACTTATAATTAACATGCATAGTAAGGCGAAACAAATCCACACATTAGCCGTGTCTGAAAACGTATGTCTTCTACTCTAGTCCATCCAGAGATGGGAAATATGTTTCTTTTATCTTCTGTCCTCTGGAATGGTTGTTGGACCCTGCACTGAGCAGAGGCTTCTTCAGTGTTTCAGAGACATTTTTCTTTACAGTGTGGTAGTCATTTATAAAGTGTTTTCCTGGTTCTGGTTCACTTCTCTCTGCATTAGCTCATGCAAGTTGTGGCCTTCACTTCTGGCTGGTGCAATTGGATCTTGTAAAGTCACTCTGATTAGGAAATCTTGGGAAATTCAAGGAGGTCTTTATGAATGTCCTTTTCTAGGGATGGGGGAAGGGAGTAGCAGAAAATAAATAAAGTCATTGTCTTCTTAGTGATTGCATTATTAAAAAATTGAAGTGTTGGTTCTCATGGAAACAACATGGTTTTTATCCAGTGCAAATGTTTCCACACAGGGATAACTTGTTTGAAATAGAGATAAATTCAAAAAATGTGATTTTAAAAATTCCTTGGAGTAGTTTCTTTCCTAAATGGGCTCATTTCACCTTTAAAAACTTTTCTATCAGAGAAAGACAGAAAACAGAA